TTGTCTCTGGTCTTGTGCTCGGCCTTCTTGATGAACTTTATCCTTGTCTGTTTACCAAACACATAATGCTCACAAAAATTCAAAGCTTGATTTTTGTACCCATTTAGCAAATTCTGCTTACTCAACAAAGATAATCCATTATCACTCATATGGCCAAGTTGCAAGTGCCACAACTGAGACTGATTCAGATCACTTTTCCTAGAAGCTACAACAACTGCCCTTTTCAACTACACTGGCCTGAAGATGATACAATTTAGAATGTAGTTTACCCTTCATAAGTACCATGGAGCCTTTACACACTTTAAGTATTCCATTCTCGGAGTGAAATTTATACCCTTGATCATCCAAAGTCGAAAGAGAAATCAAATTTCTCTTTATCCGAGGAACATGCCAAAACTTAATGTTTCTGATGATTCCGTCGAACATTCTCAATTTGATGTTACTAACCCCCTCTACTGGTAATGGATTATCATCTCCCATATAGACAGTCCCACTCATTTGTCTGTAAGTTGCAAACCAATTCTTGTGTGGACTCATGTGGAAAGTAGCACCAGAATCAAGAACCCAAGAATTTTGCCCATGACTAGAACTCACAGCACAAACTTCCCCTACATAATCACTATCATCAGAATTATTGCCAGTGTCAACAATATTTGCTGAATTATCTATTTTATGCTTCCCTCTTTTANTTGATATCTACGTTCTTCAGGCCCATTATAATTGAATTAAACTCATCAAGGTGAGTTTTAATAGGTGTACCTTCGTTCATACGGAGATTGTATAACCTCTTTTTCAGGTAGAGGCGGTTTGTCAGCGATTTCTTAGAATACAGATCTTCCAGCTTCTTCCATGTTGTTGCTGCAGAAGTTTCTTCAGCAATTTCCCGAAGAACGCTATCTGTAACACTCTTGAAGATCGCACTCAAAGCTCTCTCCTTCAGGTCTTCCTTCTTTGTCTCTTTCATATCTTTAGGAAAATCCTCATCAATTGCTTTTCATAATCCTTGTAACACCAAGGACAATTTCATCCTAATCTTCCATAGAGTGAAACTAGAACCTCCATCAAATTTCTCTACTTCGTACTTTGTTGAAGATGATGAAGACATCTTAACCCTAAATTATGTGTAGAAACCCGAACCTTGCTCTGATACCAATTGTTGCTGAATATCATGGGTTAACTAGCACACAATCACACACAAAGCAAATAGAGAAGAAAAATCAACACAATGATTTAACGAGGTTCGGCCAAGCCTAATCCTCGGGGCAAAAGCAGAGAGAGTTTTCCACTATGAATGAGAAAAGAAGCACAATACAATCTGTAGAATCCCCAACTATAACCCCTATATATAGATCCCAAAAGGTCCCAAACATATATAAGAAAGGTTTTCCAATTTTACAAGGACTATAGGTTTTTCTTTCCCAATTCTATTAGGACAATGGGTTTTCCTAAACCTATAGGGAATATGGGTTTCCTAAAAATACAAGAAAATAATTCAAACCACAAATAACAAATACCAATAAATTCTTATTATAAGATCCTGTGAAAGTTAAACATTTCTACAATAACAGTTTGAAGGATTCGAGCAACATAGGTGAAACCATTCATATCTCTGGTCCCTGCATTTATTTATTAAACATTAAGTGGATTTCATAAAATTGAGCTACAACATATGACTCAGATTTCGTGTTGTTTCAAGAAAGGAGACTGTGAATTGTGATTTGAAGTGTTAATTTCTTATACTCATTTTTGGCAGAGCTGCTATACACAGTAGATTCATTCAATTACCAACAATCACGATAACTTAATTTTTTGACGATCTAAAATAAAATAAGAAAATCATGTAGCACTAACATTTTCCTAGGAAATGTATAAATTAGTAGCACAAAGAAATAAAAACAGATAAAAGCCAAGAAAACTTTAATAGTTGTTCCCAAGGGCCGAGTTTGTCGGCAATATCATCTTTTAACTAAGAGTCTAGACCATTATGAAACCTAAGCAAATTCTTATTTCTGATTCAGATATTATTCATTTTTACAAATTTAATGTACTTCACAATATGTGAGGTTTAAAAAAATGAAAAGTACATTCTGCAAATATACCCTTTTAGTTTGAGTGTTAATTTAGTGAGAGACATTTGAAGAGAAAAGATTATTAATTTAGACAAAATACTCTTGCATATGTTATAAGGCAATTAGATGTCCTTATAAATGTCTATTTTAAAATATATACTCCCTCCGTCCAATTCTTTTAATACAGTTCAAATTTCGAGAGTTAAATTTCTTAATTTCACTGTAAAATTGGACATAAAATTTTTATTTTTAAAATAACATTTTTACGTAATAATATAATTAATAATTTAAAATATTTAAAAATTATATTAAAAATCAGGATAATCAAAATTTATTTGGCTCTTGGAATCCGACCTATATCAAACAAATTGGGACAATTGAAAAAGTATGTTTCTTTTTTCGAACCCTATATGAATTAGAGATATTTTGTGCGCGGGAATGTGTTTTATGAATAATAGACTGATAGGATATACGTGCCACATGGGAGGCTACTTTTTAAAAGGTAAGAGTGATTGGAATGTAGTGTCTAGTCTCCCCATAACTAAATCACGGACTGAATAGCAAAAGTAAGTGCCAAAATTGTCTGAATCTGCACTTCATTTCCTTTCTCCGATTCACATACTGTCACTTGGACAAAGTTTGAAATTTGAGGCCAAAAAGTCGCAGCTTGTTTTGGAACCTTATGGCTATTTAATTGAGACAGAAATTAAAGCTTATTATATTATACAATTTGTCATATATTATACGTGGTACTATTACTATTTACTCCCAAATCAATTGCATTACGAAAACATATTGTAGGCCTATCTTTTATTTGTTCTTCTGAACAGCTAGTTGCCGAATTAAGAATTTTAAAGATTTTAGTGAACTTTTAATATATAAGAGTACGAAATTTTAAAAAATGGATTTAGCCGTGCTAAATAACTTATAGAAGATATTTGCCAATTCTTTTTCTACAACTATTTATACGGATTCCATAAATGCAAAGCAAATTTGTGACCAAGATAAACTGTGAAAAATCTTATGGGCTGACTTTCATAAAATACTTCCTATAATTGCCTTTTAATGTAAACACTTTCTAACTAACAGTATTGCAATCAATTTTATTCACCTAATAACCAGATCAACTTGTAGGTAAAATGGTCGAAAAGAGAATGAGAATAGGAAATTAAAAGTCAATGGACTTGTTAATAGTATCTTCTTCATAAGAATGCCCGTGTTAGAGCTAGCTATAGTTACATTTTTATATGTATATAAACTGTCAAACACTATAGAGGTGGCTTTCGTAAACGGTTTCTTTTATGTTTAACTATCTGTTAATCGAAATCTACTTTTCCGGTTAATTAATTTGAATATACGTCATACAGGATGCATTCAAGGGGAAGCGATCCCTATAAGTTTTTTAGTTAAACTCGAAAAAAATAAAGGAATCATATTCAGCACATCATACTCTAAGCGGCTTTGTAAACATTTTGTAACTCACACTAGTTCTTTGATTTAGAGGGTGTTTGGCTAAACTTATAAGCTGGTCAAACTGGTTTATAACTACTTTTTGGCTTATCTACGCGTTTGGTAAAATTAAAAGTGCTTATAAGTTAAATGCTTATAAGCTAAAAATAAGTCAAAAGTCATAAGTTGGTCTCCCCCAACTTATCAAATTTCAGCTTATAAGCACTTTAGGTTTGACCAAAATATTTACTACTTTATCCCTAAAATAATTCTTTTTAGACAAAACTCTTCGTATACCCAGTTCTTCAGCTGCTTATTATTAATTTCAGCACTTTTATCAAAACACGTAACTGCTTATTTTTTAAATCAGCTTCAGTACTTAAAAGTGCTTTTCAGCACCTAATGCTTATTAGCTACTCTAAATCAGCTAAGCCAAACGGGCTCTTACTCACCTAACCCTAGCACCTTGTAGGTTGAATCTTTTTTAAAAAAAAATAGAAAAAGGGAAAATCCAAGAGATGGTAGTAGTATCTTCTCTATAAGAAAGGCAGTGCTAGAGGAAGTGCCATAGTGTACCATTCTCTTGGTAGCATTTGGCAACACTTCCCCCCTCTCCTTACCAACAATGGAGAAGTTCAATGTAGCTAGAATCTTATTGTTCCTTCTCCAACTTGGAACTTTGTTCATTGCCCATGCATGTCCTTACTGCCCTTATCCTCCTTCCACCCCAAAACACCCAAAATTGCCTCCCAAACATCCATCTCCTAAGGTAAAACCACCTTCTACCCCCCACCACCCCAAACAACCTCCTCATGTAAAACCACCTTCCACCCCTAAGACCCCTAAACACCCTACACCAAAACCGTGCCCTCCACCCCGACCTCCACATGTCAAGCCACCTCATGTAAAACCTCCATATGTCCCAAAACCACCAGTAGTACATCCACCTCCCACTGTCAGTCCACCTTATGTGCCTAAACCACCATCACCAACACCACCTGTTGTTTCACCCCCAGTCACTCCAAAACCACCAGCACCAACACCACCGGTTGTTTCACCACCAGTCATTCCAAAACCACCTGTTGTTTCACCACCTTTCACTCCAAAACCACCAGCACCAACACCGCCTGTTGTTTCACCACCAGTCATTCCAAAACCACCTGTTGTTTCACCCCCTTTCACTCCAAAACCACCAGCACCAACACCCCCAGTCGTTTCACCACCTTTTGTACCCAACCCTCCAGTGGTAACACCACCACCCTACGTGCCAAATCCTCCGGTTGTTACACCACCAATCGTGAAACCATCTCCACCACCACCTTCACCATGCCCTCCACCGCCGCCGACAATAGTACCATCACCACCTGCACAACAGACTTGCCCCATTGATGCTCTTAAGTTGGGTGCTTGTGTGGACGTGTTGGGGGGATTGATCCACATTGGTATCGGCGGCAGTGCTAAACAGACATGCTGTCCACTTCTTATGGGACTTGTGGATTTGGATGCAGCCATTTGTCTTTGCACCACCATTAGGCTCAAGCTCTTAAATATAAACATCATTCTTCCTATTGCTCTTCAAGTTCTTGTTGATGATTGTGGCAAGTATCCACCCAAAGATTTCAAGTGTCCTTCATCCTAACTCAAGGTTGTCTTTTTGTTTTCCCCTTCAATTTTGTACGATTTGGAACTTCATGTACTACTTCAACATTTAAGTTAGATCATAACATTATGCAATATGATGCAGGATGCTGCTAAAATTAATAGGAAAGGCTCATTAGCTTGAGTGGGACATTTGATTAATTCTGCTGCATTTTCATATATAGTTGAAGACACATTCTGCGAATGCAAGGGGTGTGAGATTGCAATTTCCATTTTATCATGGCCAATAAATTGAAGGAAAAAGAAAGAGAGTGACAAATGAACTCCTTCAATGGAGATAAGTTTGACGAGTTATTTACCTTTCATTAATGTACGGAATGTTGTATTTTCATTGTTTTGATAGGAAATATTTTTGAAGGTGCTTTATATTGTATTGCCGATTTGAAAATATGAACATGCATGAGGTAATAAGAACCCATAATTCATCCTGCAAGTCATGCGATACAAGTATAGAACATGACGTCCTTTCGGGAACATCCAATAAAATTGGTACGATGCAGAAAACATTAGTAACTCCTAGCTAGGCGCACACAAAGAAAAGTATAGGACATGATTACGGGTGGCAAACGGGCTGAGTCAGGTCGGATATTAGTGGGTCGAAACAGGTAATTAAAACAAATGGATATATTATCCAATCGGATCTATATTTAATACGGATAAAAAATGGGTTACTTAGCGGATAATATGGATATTCATATTATCCATGACTTCTTGAATATGATCACTTTTGGAAGAATTCTAGTCTCCCAATTTTGAGGAACACCAATTTGAGGATTTACAAATGTAAAAGTTAAACCCATAATATTAGGGCTGTCAATGGATATTTAAAAACCGACTGAACCGTACCGCACCGAACCGATTTTTTGGTTTCTTTTAATATAATCGCAGGTTTTTATATACATCTATAACTATCGATAATTAGGGTAGGTTTTTATTTTATGATACCGAACCGTACCGAATAAACTTACAATGTGAAAAATATATTTATATATTAAGTTAAAAAATAATAAAGCATTAAATTTTTTCTTAGGCCTTGAAATTATGAAACAATTACAAGCAACAAGTAATTAAACTCAAAATCCTAATTTTCAAACCTATTATGCTACTTCTATTCAAACTAAATTATTTCTAGCATATTCACTAGCAAGACACAAGTATTGTAGTGATTATGAGTCGGAAACTACAATGTATTGAATATGTTTTTCTTTCGTATGATTTGATTTATCTTTTTGAATGTTTTATCTTGACTTTATTCTTGAATTCCAACTTGGTTAATATCTTTTCACTTTATATATTTTTTTATTTGCTAGTTTCTTTTACGCTGCTGTATAATAGTTGATGGATCTATACTCTAGTCATCTTTCATATTTTCTTAATTCACCTTTTAACTATAAAAGCATACTAGAGAGTTTTACTAAGTCCTATAAAGTACGTATGTTATTGTATTTTACTTCTAGTGACTTTTAAATGACATTTTTAAAAAATTATCGAAAATTAACCGAACCATACCTATCCGAAGAAAAACCGACATGATTGGGACAGTTTCAAAAAGTTTAATTTTGGTTATACATAATAGAATAACCGAAAAATTGGTATGCTACAAATTTTATAAAATAACCAGCTAAATCGAACCATTGACACCCCTAGATAATATGGTTCTTATTCATATTTGATCCGTTTTTAAAAAGTTCATTATCCAATTCATTTTTTAATAGATAATATGTGTGTATAACTGTTTTCTTTTTAACCATTTTGCCACCTCTAGATATGACCATGACAATGGAACACCTTAATCTCGTGTGTGAACAAATTCTTTGAGTTGAAAGAGTACACTGCTCCGTTCACAAAATATTCTTTTGGAATGTATGGTTCCCAATACAGAGTCAACCAAACTTCGAAATTTACGTCGTGTAAGATGAACCTATATGAGGTGTATAACACTCAAATAGTGTAAAAAAAAAATTACACGTAATTTAAATTCTTGTATATATAAGAGGTTACTATTTATTCTAGGACATGAATTCAATTATTATTATTAAATGGAGTTAACTACAAGGTTATAATTACTTTTTAACCAATTTGATTTTGTAATATCTTACAACATTTGCAATTTTGTATACAACTTAAACTCAGCACAATAATTGCTTTTTAATTTTCTTTTATTTTTTGTGAGGGAACCTGATACGAAAGCTGAAATTCAAAGAAAGAAAAAACTAGCTACAGCTAAACTAAGCTAAGAAAAGAAAGGGAAACTAGAGCAAAAAGTAAAAGATAATTTCATTCATAACTTTCCTCTGATTGATTTACAAGTTAAATAGTGTATAGGTAGTGGAGGGACTAAAACTAATTAAAAGGAACTTACAAGCTAAAATGTAAACAATATAACTAATTGCACTAAAGTGGAATAAAAATAACTATGGAGTAATTAATTATATCGGCAACCTCAGAATATTAGCATCCTCCAATTTGCAGCAGTGATATATCTATCAGATCCCTCCCCTTAAAATCACCCTTGACCTCAAGGGTGAGTGTGAAAATGAAGATATGCCAAACTATTAAATGTATCAAGATATTCCTTAGGTACCATCCCAACAGCAAGCAACTTTGCAACAATATTAATGATTACGACATATCGATGTATCCCTTCAATGCTTATCATCAAGTCTTGAAGCATTTGTTTGGGAGCATCCCATAAAGATTCAGTGAGGGCATCAGAAATGATCTTCCCAGTGTGTCTAAAGGCCCTCGTAATAGAATCCATAACAGGCTTTAATTGTCCCCATTGTAGTAAAGTATGACAATTAATGTGCAGGAGTTGGCTGAAGGAATAAAAAGAACTTTAGCCCATGTCCAAGATAATCTTCACAAAATTTTGTGACAACCTCTAGAGTGCACTGGATAGCACCATCAAATATACAAGAAAAATCCTCTATCGTAGCACCCATATACTTGCCTGCAATTGCAGCAACAAGAGATAACAATTCAAATTTCATAGCTATTCTTAAAGTTTCTTTTTCCAACTCCTTTATTTGGTAACCTTTCTTATAAGCTCCTCATTGAATGTGCTCTTTACTCCAAGCAGTGTTTCATTGGCTTCAAAATTCCAACCTTTGTTCCAGTAGCCACCAGTTATGTTCTCTTGTTCAGGACACTTGAGAGTATCATTGTCAGACACCCTACATTCCAACTGCCTCCCTACCATAACATGCCAGAATTGTGATTGTAGACATGTAATTTTTTACCCTCCCAGAAATTTTATACATTTTTAGCATTTAAATAGTTAGTTTAGGTCTAATATCGTCATTTTAACTAATTTTGACTCTTTTACTTTATTTTATCACAAAAAATAAAAATTACAAAAAAAATAGTTTTTTTAATATTTTGTAGTCATACTATTTTTCTAGAATTTTTGTTTTTACATAATCTTGAAAAAATACCAAAAACAGTTTCATTTTAGGTTTATCTTTAATAGTTTATTTTAATTAATTAGGAGTAATTTTACATTTTTATAGGAGCTTTATACTATTGTACAAGAAGAATTGAATTTGGGTCTATAGTTTATGAATTTTAATCCAATACTACATAGACCCAACCCAAAACCCAAAAGTCATCTATGCTCAAATCTTGTTAGTACATACCCCATTTTCCTTAAGAAGATTAAAAAGAAACTAAACCTTTCTTCTCTTCTTCAGACCAAAAACACTAGAGAGACCCTTCAGTCGTTGCTTCTTCTTCGGTTTCACACTGAACGAACCTAGAGCAGCCTTCCACCTCCAGTCCCTCAATCAACTGACTCCACCGCCCCATTCCAGCAGCACACCCTAACGCCACTCCACCCCTTTCCTCAAATCTCCAACCACCAGCCAACGACAGACCGCTTGAACACCCCTAGACGACCACAGACATGAACAGAGAGGAGGACCGAAGAGAAGAAGCAGCTGTCGACGCCCTCCAACCATCTTCTCAACCCAAACTCGCCGGCTAACCAAATAAACTGGGAAATATGTTTCTTTTATTCTTATGTTCTTCCTTCCTGATTTAAAAGAAAAACTAAAAAAAAAGATCTTCTCCTTCTAGTTTTAGTTTTTAGTTATTCAGATAGAAAATACCCAAAAAATATTTTAGTTTCTTTTGTTAAATACTATTTCTAAAAGAAAATTAAAATAGAAACAGAGTTGCGCTTAAGAGATCTGAGTTTGAGTTCGAGGTTTTTCCGGGTTCTGCGCTCGTTCGTGGTTTAATTCGCATTTAACATTGGGTTTTTGAGCAGCTTTTTGGTGTTGCAAGTAAATTCAGTGTCCCGAGGCCTTAAAACCTCCTTTTTGTCTCACCTCGTTATGAGTGCTCAGTCCGGACGTGTATCTAGAAAGCTATTTTGTGAAAATCTGTGAGAAAGGATAAATTTTGCTTTTAAAATGAATTTAAGTTGACTTCGATCAACATTTTGGGTAAAAGGACCCGGACCCATGATTTGACGGTCCCGGAGGGTCCATAGGAAAATATGGGATCTGGGCGTATGCCCAGAATTGAATTTCGAGGTCCCAAACCTGATAAATGAATTTTTAAAGAAAATTATTTTCTGAAAAATATATGAGTTTTTGGAAATGAAATATGTTTGAAAGTGATGATATCGGGCCCGTATTTTGGTTTCGGAGCCCGGTACAGCTCTTATATAGTAGTTAAATTGAGCCCGTAAAGTTTGGTAAGAAACGGACTTGAAATGACGTGAATCGAACCCTTGGTTGTTAATAAAAATGGAACTTAAGAGTTCATGAGGGTTTTCTTTGATTTTGATGCTAAATTCGTTGTTAAAGGTGTTAATTTGGCGATTTTATCGCACGAGTAAGTCCATATGATGTTTTTGAGCTAGTATGCATGTTTGGTTTGGAGCCCCGAGGGCTCGGTTGAGTTTCGGATAGATTTCGAGATGTTTTTACACTTAGAAAAGTTGCAGGTTCGGAGAAAGTTGCAGGTCTCTGAAGTCAGATCTCGCGGTCCGCGAAGAAACCTTCACGACTGCGGTGGGAATCATGCGGTCCGCGATGGGGCAAGGCCACACCTGTGTGGCCGCGCTCGATTTCTTGCGGTCTGCGGTGGAGCTTCGCGACCGCAGTCCCTTTTATGCGGTCTGCGGAGAGGGTCTGAGAGGGGTATATTTAAACGGATTATTCAGTTAGTTTTCACTTTTGAAAACCCTAAAAACATAAGAGGCGATTTTCCCAACACTCTTTCTTCTACAAAACACTAGTAAGTGATTTTAAACTCATTTCTTTCACTCCTTAACTTCTTTTTACAAGATTTCATCCTAGAATCTAGGGTTTTCATAGTGTAATTGAGAATTTTGGGTAAAACCTAAGAACATTGAAATTTGGGGATTTAGACCTCAAGTTGAGGTCGGATTCTAAAACCAATTA